AAAGAAAGATGAGAATGGGATGGGAAGGGGGGAGAGAGAGAACGGAAGTAAAATAGATAACTAGGCAAACAATCAAGGCAGCCGCCCTCCAGGTAGGAGGGTTAATGTGCCGTCACACTAGTGCACAAGAGTGTTCACTTACTACGCCCCACACTAGGTTGACCTATACTTGAACCTAAGCAAGTTGCCATGAAAAGATAACACTGGATTTTATTTGAAGCTGATTCATCATGTCAAACATGGTCCAAAGCCAGCTGCACAGAAACCCCAGAGTTTCCAACTCAGGAAGCAGAGGATATCCAAGAAAAGCCAACCCCGCTAAAGAGCAACTCACAATTTTTCTTTAACTTTGAGATGAAGCAGGAAAGACAAGCAAGATCCCCTGTGCTCTTGCGCTTGGTCCCAAGCAACACAGGGCGCCAGGGCCGCACCAGGGCATGTCTTCCCATAGTCCTCACTCATCCTCAGCTGGGCCAAGCACTGGAACAGCTTGCACAGGAAGCACATCCTGCCTGAGTGGAGCGAGGTGCAGCAGTGTGTCACACCAATGCTCTTTTTATTTGTGGTAGGTCGTAGGGCTTGAACTCTGAGCCTGGGCACTGTCCCTCAGCTCTTCAGCTCAAGGCTAGCTCTCTACCACTTGAGCCACAGCGCCACTTCTGGTTTTCTGGTGGTTTATTGGAGATAAGAGTCTCATGGGCCGGGCACCAGTGGCTCACACCTGTAATCATAGCTACTAAGGAGGCTTAGTTCTCAGGTTCACAGTTCAAAGCCAGCCTGGGCAGGAAAGTCCATGAAACTCTTATCTCCAATAAACTAGAAAACCGGAAGTGGTGCTGTGGCTCAAGTGGTAGAGCTCTCGCCTTGAGCTAAAGAGCTCAGGGAGAGTGCCCAGGCCTAGAGTTCAAGCCTCATGACTGTCAAAAAAAAAAAAATTCTCACCGACTTTCCTGCCGGGGCTGGCTTTGAACCGAACCAGTGCTGTCTTTATTAGGCTGCAGCTCAAATGCCATCAGTGTGTTTTCAAGGATACAGGCTGCCCATGCCACCCCTTCCAGTACCGTGCATGCTTTCCTCTCTTGTCAAGAGCCTCACACCCTGAGTCACTCTAGTTGGAGGGGGCAGGAAGTGGGTGGCACTGCTAGAAGCAGCTAATGAGTCGTGAAGGAAGAATTCATGATAAACTCACCATCACCTCTAGCCCTCATGGTCCGGGTCATTTCTTGGATGCCATCATGTCTCATCTT